AGTAAAATAACATTTAATACCTGAATTATTTTAAAATTTTCACTTAAATATATGTATCATTCAAAAGAACGTTAAACATAAAAATGTCTTTAATAAATAAATTGTCGGACTTTGTCCACTTCTTAATATACACACATATATATATATACTTTCGGCTGTACATTCAGTCAACATCAGGCATGGAAATTATTTTGTTTTTGGTAAAATTCAGGTAGCATCCGAGACGGAAAATTATATAATGCGAATCAAAATATGTTTTTTTTTTATAAATGTGTTATTGATACAAACTTTTGGAGCGTGCAGTCGCATCGCAAAGGTTGAATCTTTTTGAAAATTTAAATCACTGCTTTTTTTACTAATATGGTAATTTGAGTATATATATATATATATATATATATATATATATATATATATATATATATATATATATATATATAATAATTTTTTTTAAAAACTACTTCTGTATGGAGCACTGTCTTCTTAAAAATAAAAACAAAAATACTAAGGAACCCCCAGATTATGCACCCAACGTGTTCTTTTCTATTTTCTGCATACCTATGCATATATATATATATATATATATATATATATATATATATATATATATATATATATATATATATATATATATATATATATATATATGGTGAGTCTAAAGTCGTTCACCACAGAGATAATTTATTAAAAGTATAATTACACATGAAAATTTTATTTACTAATTATTTAATTGTTATATGTGCTGTTCAAAATGTCATCCTCGTTTTTGAAAACACATTTCAATTCCGCGCCTGCATAATTCATTAACACGTCGGAAAGTTTCCTCTGTCATTTTAATAAAATAAATGACTAATTTCAAGTTGACCCAGGGAAAAAATCCAAAAGTTCGAAATCTGGGGACCTCAAGAGGATCTCTTCGTTCAACATATCTATTAATCCCTATAATGCGTAGCTGTTGACTCACCCTCTCTTTCTCTTTTGTCTCTCTTTTGTCTCTCTCTATTTATTTATCTCTCTCTTTCTCTCTCTCTTTCTCTCTCTCTCTCTCTCTCTCTCTCTCTATATATATATATATATATATATATATATATATATATATATATATATCACTGAAAAAGAGACTTAATTAAGAAATTGTGATGTATTTGTGATTCTCGTTCTAAAACCTCCAAACTAATCGTAACTCACCATCATACTTCATTCGTAAACGCTTACATATGATTTTTGCGCACGCGTGTGTGTGTGTGTGTGTATGTGATACAAACAGATAAATACAATGACAGATAGTATATGTCTTAAGACATCTGATTTTTTTTGTCAGCGATTTACCCATGTAGAAAGAAATATTTCCATTATCTTATCTGTCAATCTTCCATGCCAGTCATCTTGAATTTCACTGAATTTAAGTGTATCATAGTGATTATACGAGGATGTACCGAAAACTTCACGATCCGACCAAGAGGTTTTCCAAAAAGAAATCTACCGTTTGAAGTGTGTCACGCTGGGAACTTGTATAACCAAAATTTAGCAGGAGTATCCTAAACTGATTCCATTTCATGCAACAATGGCAGAAATTAATTTTCTGTTTATCAGTTCCTAACTGAGCACAAACTGATACCAAAAGCTTATGAACACTGCCAAGTCTTAAAAAGACTTTCAATTGAAGAGAAAACAATGCTAAAGAATTTGAAGAATTGGCAAGTATCTTAAAGACATCTGGTCTCTGAATGATAATTTTGCCGTGCGATCGTCCTAAAGAAATTTAACACGTTATGGAGCAAGTAAACAATGACAGCAATTTAGATATCGACTACACATTATAAAAAATGCTTACACTGATAAATAAAGCGATATTTATAACCTTTGATTCCTCCAATATCTCGTTCTGTGTGCGTGTCTGTCAATGACGTGCAGAGATTTAGTAATGTTTGGCGATGCTCGGGACCAACTGCTTGATTGCATGCTATTAAGACTCAAGTATGATGGACTATAGGGCCTAGTACCGAGAAATGTGAGAAAGGAAGACATATGTAATATGTAAAATAAATGAAATAATATCTAAAAACAGATGAAACATGAAATAAATAATTTATTCAAATTATAGATAAACTAAATTCTTATTTCACTCTTTTATTTAATACTCTACCGATATGGATGCCCGGAGACGTCGCATCCTCTGCCCATCCCCATCTGATGCCTGATCGTGTGTATTTGTTCATATATAGATATTTAATCGGGGTATTCCTCTTAACAGTACGTCAGGCTAAATGACGGTTTCTGCATGGGATACAGGTTCAATTCCTGTTGGAGAATGCCAATTTTCTGCGTAATTTCTCGAGTATTCAAGCCGGTAAATGTAATTCATACTGTTTAATTAAAGAACAGAGCATTTACTCGTATAAACAGAAAATATATTAAAATATTCGTCGGATTTAATCCATTACACACACACACACACATATGCATGCACACACACACACATATATATATATATATATATATATATATATATATATATATATATATATACACACAAAAAAAGTAAATTAGTAAAGTTAACGATATAAAATGGCGAAATCCTTCGCTGACAAAATTTTAAAGATACTTTAACCTACTAATCACTCGATGAATGTTATGATCCTTGTTTGTTTTTTTTAAAATTATAAGCTGTATAATGTCTTTCTTAAATACGCAAGTACTTTCGACTGTACATTCAATCACCTTATATATCTTATATTTTATATTGTTAACTTTACTAATTTACGTTTTGTATGAATGATTCATTGTAATATAAATTAAACTGCACCATATATATATATATATATATATATATATATATATATATATATATATATATCAACCATATTTTCAGTTCTGTACACGATTCAGGATTTCTCTAAGGTCTGTCAGGCTAGAAGAGCAAATGATCTTACCTTGGCATGTTGACTCAACCAGTTGGTAGGGGACTTGAATTTAGAGTTATACTTCCCTTATACTGGTTATCCTCTCAAAGCTAAAATTTTAATTTTAACCTACGACTTTTACTCATGACTAATGGAATGGACAAAAATGGATTCATACCTTTCCAAGGGGCAATATTACAAAGAATTCACAACTGAGAAAGCGGACTGGGAAAGGGAAGAAATTCTTTTCTTTTCTATTTCCTAACCAACTTACTGCTATGCAGCAGAAAAAAAAATATGTAAAAAATATAACTGGAAAAGAAAAGACATCCAAGTTGCGTAAAATAAGAAAACCAAGCAAATAAGAAGTATATTTTTTTCTTATCAACATCCATTAAATTTGAATCATGATATATATACGCATGCGCTAGCAAACTGAAATCTAAATATAGATTTTTCCACTTCCTTTTCTCATATGCAAGCTCTTCTTTCTCCCTCTCTATATTTCCCTCTCTCATTGACTGAGTCTCGCTAACACACACAGCCATATACATGTATTCACACAGTTATGTGAACGCACACGCAGAACACATTAAATGATCGATCATAAGATAGAGAGTGAGAGACGAAATGACTCTTATTTCATGAAGAGACAAAGACCAAATTTATTGTTTTCATCGCCATGCTCTGAATGCGTAAACACCGCTTCGCTTCTTTCAAGAGGGCAACAATGACTTTTGTCTTGGCTTACGATGAGTCACACATTGGCTTTTTGCCAGAATCTCGCCTGTCGAAATGGTTGATTTAATTTCATTATACTATAGTCTGGCACATGGCCATTTAATTCGTAAAACATATTATTCTGTCCGCCATGTGTATGAGTACATATAAATTGATAGAAAGATATATTTAAGCACTTCACCAACAAGCAAGTAAATAAAATCACTAAGACGCAAGGAATTACTGAGTAAAAGAATATGAGAAAAAAGATACTTTATCAAGGAGAGAGAATAATATAATAAACCGGAATTAAGAAGACAGAAAATAACGATTGGCATTACATTTAAATTTTTAGAGAACAAAGTTGACTTGAATGCTTATATGTTTATCAGTGTGTCTGCCTATTATTACAAAAGAGAAAAACAGTAATATATTATGCCAGAAATATGTTTTCATGTTTACGTTTCTCCGTATATATATATATATATATATATATATATATATATATATATATATATATATATATACATATTATATATATAATATGTCATTATAAGCTCTTCTTGCCTTCAAGCGGAAACTATAGTAAATTTAAAATTTGTTATTTTCTAACTTTACTTCAACATGCGTCTTCGTAAGTAAAATTATAAAGCCAAGTACCTAAAATTCAATAAAATATTAGTTTACTTTTTTTTATTAAGTTTAAGATTACTGAGTAGTTAAACAGTTTTATAAAACGTGCGTTCACGTTGCATTCGTCAAGTAATTCTTACAGTTATGTGGACTTTACTTAAAAATATCAAACATTAAGATATCGATAATTGTGTCCAACACCTTCTAAAATACACACCTCTGTGTTAAAAATGATTATTTACTGCGATATTTTAAAGTAAAAGTAAGTAATATTTGATTTAATTCAGATTAATTAAGCATTAAATCAGTTACTCTTCGTCAAATAAAGTTCCAGAAAAGTATATTTTATTTTTGCAAGAGTTTTTAATAAAGAGAATTATGTTATGTTGACAGATTTATCAATATGACCGATTTTAGCAATTTCAAAAATAATTGTAATTAGTTTAAATTCGTTTTGAAACACAGTAAAGTATTTCACTTATTGGAAATATTAAATTTAATATACCAGCTTTGAATTAAAACTAAAATACAAGCTTCAAGAAAGATTTTTCATTTTTAAAATGCATTTTAAAATTTAGGTATCGCTTTATTTTTGGAGGTACCTAATTCTAACCAACAGCTCTACAATGCAATGTTTCTATAAATAAAACACACGATCCTGTGTCAAATCAGTTATTCTACATGGAAATGAATCTTCCCATATGGTAACATATGTTTGTTTCTTACTCTTTCTTTTTTTTCTTGTAGCGTGAATGCATCAGTATCCACATTGGACAGGCCGGCGTCCAAATTGGCAATGCATGCTGGGAATTGTATTGCTTGGAGCACGGCATCCAGCAAAATGGCCAAGTGCCAGATTTAAAAACACAGTCGAACGGCGATGACTCTTTCAACACTTTCTTCAGCGAGACCGGTGGTGGAAAACACGTTCCTCGGGCAGTGTTTGTTGATCTGGAACCAACCGTCATTGGTAAGTTGACTAGTAAGGGTAATTAATCGCACGTCCACTTGGACCGTATGTGGTACAAGTCCAGGAGTCTAAAGTAGGGGTCCAGCGCGTACATGAGACCACGGACAAAAATATTTCGTGTCCCCTTAGCACTTTCACTTTGGGAACGTCTCAGGCGCCAGGCATGAATCCTAATCCTTTCTTAAGAACAGGTATTGTCTGGAGGGACAGCTCACTGCGGCTCAAATACATTATATTAAATATTAACCCCGATGGTTGAGCCTGATTAGTAGAATCGAAAGTGGGAAACACTGCATGCGTATAAGAAAATAAAACTGCTCCAATGGAAAAAGTTATTTTTGATATTCTACAACTAATTTCTTGTTTTGCAATAAAAATTATGCTGATCTTGCAGATCATTAGCAAACAAATAAGAAATGTCGATCTAGCTATCACAGTCTGTCCCTATCAATCTATCTTAATTTTGTTCACATCTGTCTCTCTGTCTATATATCTATCTATCCACGCACACACACACACACACACACACACACATACATACATATATATATATATATATATATATATATATATATATATATATACTTTAAAAATCAGGAGGTCAGTTGTATCCGCTACCTTGGTTTCACGACAATATTTGCAACTTCTGCCAACAGGAAAAATTACCAATTATGACATTTCCGGATCTTCCGGAACCTTTTAAACCTGAAATCCGAACTATTAAGTCCCTGCTTACCTATTAGAAAATTCCTCTTAAGCACAGTAACTAATGTAATATACATTTCAATCACCACCCCCACCGATATATTTACAATACTTTTGCTGCTGCTTCTTCTTTCCTTCCTTCCTTCCTTCCTTCCTTCCTTCCTTCCTTCCTTTATTTATTTTTGAAAATAATATATCGTTGATTAGTTTTTGAAAAATATATATATATAAAGCGTTAAGTGGCCATTTGATAAAAATGCCCGAGGATACCGTAAAGTTGAAACCAAGGCAGCCGATTCAACTGACCTCCTGATTTTTAAAGTTAAAAATTCTACATGTTATTTTTACTTTTACTTTATTTTTTCACGCGTGTATTGAGCACTTTTTCATACTGCTGTTTCCTGGTCTGATTCAACTCTAACCATTAACATTTTATGTATCATATATATATATATATATATATATATATATATATATATATATATATATATAATGAAATGGACTAATTCCGAACAAATATTTTAATAAATTTATTGTTTATAAATTTATTGTTTATTTTTATAGATACAAAAATATTTAAGTAAATACTCTGGTTATAATAAACAGTATTAACAACATTTAATGGCCTGAATGTCCGAGAAATTTGATAGGAAATATATATCCTCCGACAGGAATCTAACCTGTATCCTACACAGAGCTGTCATTATAGCCTGACGTGCTATGCTATTTAGCTACAGAGGAAGCGTTTAGTTAACAAGCAATAATTTAAAATTTATTTTATTTAAAAGCAGTAATTTGATCTTGCTAACCAGATGCTTTCTGTGTAAAAGTCTTGAGCAGATTATAAAGAAAATGAATTTATCATGAATGATTTGCGAAGCTAAATTTTTCAAGCTAAACGATAATCCATGGGAAGATGGACTAGTTAAATTTGGTAGCTACCAGATTACAACATTATTTAAGAATCAAGGGTATCAGTGAAATAGTAAGTGATCATATATTTTAAGATTGCAGAACCGTTCCAGCAAAACGTTACAAAACCCCGAAACACGAGTAGATAGTACGAATCTTATCTGGTAGGCTGTTGCAAATTGCAATCCCTATCGTACTAGTCAGAACTCTGACGAAGCTGAGTGTGGGTGGTTTGAACGCCTTAACAGAGTGTCTCTGATGGAGTGTCTCTGTTTAAATTTTAAGATTAAAATAAAACGCGCGAATACATTACGGTTGCAAAGAGAGAAAAAGATAAAGACACTTTGCCGGCTCCATGGTTGTTTAGTGCGAGCGGCTACCATGTGGTGATAAGTAGTTAGCCAAGCTTTTATCTCTCCTTCTCGCTTATTCCTAGAAACGCGGCTACGACTCCTGTGTCTCCAAAATGAAATAAAGCGAGAAGAAAACTACTAGAAAAATTGTCCGTCGTCAATTCAGTTTGTGATGCGGCGTTGGGTCATAAAGATGTCAGAGAGGACACGAAAAGCCGAAGACAACCCGAAATGCAACATTAGTTCAATTGACTGAGTACGAATGAACGTTAGCTGTACGCGCATTTTCGTTGAACGATATTATTACAGCCGGTACAATCAGTGAACGTTCTGAATCTGCTTTCTATTTGATGATAAAATCAATGTGTCTGCCTTTTTTTCTGGATTTAGTTAGTTTATATTAGAGCGTTAGTTTAGCCTCAGGTTATGGCCATTGAAGAGACACTGAGGAAAGTAATGGATTGCGATTCGGATTGAGTAATCAGAGAGCCGAGTTCGAATTCCAACCGAGTTCATTACATTCAATTACATAATAATACCTTTGGGAAAGGTATGAATCCAACTCTTCTCAATCCCAAGCTATGGGTAAATAGTAGGACAAACTGGGTTCTATATCCTTGAGTGGCAACCGGTCTGGGAGAAGGAAAACTCTGAATTCAAAACTGTATGTTGCCCTGACGAAGCACATAATATGCAACTAAAGGAATTGACTCAATAACCCCCCGCTCCGGTCGACTCCTTTATGACTATGTCACGCTCAAACGCTAGTTCTCGTTCGATCTGGAATGGGATTTGGCTAGAAAGAAAGAAAGAAAGAAGTGTTTAATGTCTCCTGCCAATGCCTTATAAATAATGGGCTATTCCCTCTTGATTGCGTAGAAAAACAAAAGACATACGCTACTTGGTTTCAGTCAAAAAAAGAAAGGAAGAGAAAATAGACGTGTTTAACAACTGTTTCAGTGAAAACGAAAAAATTGTCAATTTCAAATCTTTTCATTTGTACCCCTTTACTTCTTAAAATAATGACCAGCATTCATCTTTATGATTGTTATTGCAATAGTTTTGTTAAATTTGTTGAGCTCAAATATTTAACAATGCGATAGGGGAATTTCTATAGATATTTTATTGTCATAGAATTCGCTATGTGCTTATTCAATCATTAACTAAAAAATTACGATTCATTAAAAAATTTAAATAGGAAAACCTTAAATTTTCACGGGTCTAAATTCTGATAAATGGCTTTTTTTGTTATTATTCTTACCTATTTGAACTATCTTCGTTTATAAACATCAACTGTTTTTCTTTTTTTTGTGTGCAGATGAAGTGCGTACCGGTCCCTATCGCCAGCTTTTCCATCCAGAACAACTTATCAGCGGCAAAGAAGATGCCGCTAACAACTATGCCCGGGGACATTACACTATAGGGAAAGAGATTATTGATTTGGTACTTGATCGAATCCGTAAACTTACTGATCAGTGTATTGGTCTGCAAGGATTCCTGGTCTTCCACAGTTTTGGTGGCGGCACTGGCTCTGGCTTTACATCTCTGCTTATGGAACGCCTGAGCGTTGATTTTGGCAAGAAGTCCAAGCTTGAATTTTCCGTCTATCCCGCTCCTCAGGTCTCCACGGCTGTAGTCGAGCCATACAACTCTATTCTCACTACCCACACTACATTGGAGCACTCTGACTGTGCTTTCATGGTAGACAACGAAGCTATTTACGATATTTGCCGCAGGAATCTGGACATAGAACGTCCAAGCTATACTAATTTGAACAGGTTAATTGCTCAAGTGGTCAGTTCTATAACGGCCTCGCTTCGTTTCGACGGCGCCTTGAATGTAGATTTAACTGAATTCCAAACCAATCTTGTCCCTTATCCGCGTATCCACTTCCCCTTGGTTACATATTCCCCGATCATTTCTGCTGAAAAAGCTTACCATGAATCTCTGTCTGTGTCAGAAATCACCAATGCTTGTTTCGAACCCGCTAACCAAATGGTCAAATGCGACCCACGCAATGGGAAATATATGGCATGCTGTATGCTCTACCGCGGAGATGTCGTACCAAAGGATGTGAATCAAGCAATAGCCACCATCAAAACAAAACGTTCAATTCAGTTCGTAGACTGGTGCCCCACCGGTTTCAAAGTCGGCATCAATTACCAGCCCCCAACAGTGATTCCAGGGGGAGATTTAGCCACCGTCCAGAGAGCCGTCTGCATGTTGAGCAACACAACTGCCATAGCTGAAGCGTGGGCAAGGTTAGACTATAAGTTTGATCTCATGTACGCTAAGCGAGCCTTTGTGCATTGGTACGTTGGAGAAGGCATGGAAGAAGGCGAATTTGCTGAAGCTCGGGAAGATTTAGCAGCCCTCGAGAAGGATTATGAAGAGGTTGGTGGTGATTCTGATGAAGGTGGAGCGGAGGATGAATACGAAGAATATTGATCTGCCTTCACGTGAAAACAAAACACCTTCCTTGAGTATTGATTCTGCTTTTGAGTGGTTTTTATAGATGGACCAGAATATTCTCGCGAGATCTTTTTCGTTAAAATATTTTACAAACGATTTTTTAAACACCAGAATGTCAGTTCACCTTAACTGCAATTCTTGCTACTTCTCTCATTTTTTTGCCAGTTTCATGCGTTCAGACTCCTGAGTTGTTGAATGGAAGCTATTATTTTACAAGATCAAATAATCGGTGCCTGCTTATGAAAAGGACGATTTTAAAGACTACTAACACGATTGTATTCAATCCAAAGAGAAATATCTTTGAAAATATATACCTTGTAAGTAAGATCTGAAATATATGGCCTCGTATTAAATAACTGGATAACTCAACTTTTGATTCTATCAGACGAATAAGAAAGATATTACTCATTAACTTATTAATACAAAAACGCTTTTAATTAAAAGAAAAAAGCTTACACTGTTTTGTAATAGCGAAATGAAATCAGAGTTTCTTGAAATACAGTTGCAAGACATTTTCTATCTACCTTTGTGGATTGGTTCTATAATCGCTAAAAAGTTATTGACTGGAGCAAAATAAGTTTATTATAGATGCTTTCATTTCTTTTTAATGAAGTGATTTCTTCTTGTTTTTGCTCAATTCAAATAAATATCAAATTAGAATCTTAAAAATAACTTCTGAATACTATAAACGAAAAATATTTCAAGAAAACAACTTGCGATTTTCTAATTAAAAAATGATAGCTCGAAAGATCTGTTGCTATAAAGCATCGACTAAAATAAAAGCTTTATATATTCAATTATATTGAGCAATAATTTTGATTTTAACGGGAAACTTACGACAGGATTGGTTAAAATTTATTTTTCAAGCATTGGATGAAATTAAATTAAATAACCAAAAAAAAAAAAAAAAAGACAAAACAGAAAAAACTGTTTGTGTTCGTTCGTGAGTTTCCGGAAGAATATCAGATACGATTCGGGATCAACTAAGTGGCCCCGAATCGTTCCTTGAGGTTATTTCTTTCTATAAATACTCAGGACAGAAATGGCGATTTCCTGGAGTCAAACTCAACTAAAAGTACCGAGATATTGTACGCCCATCAAGAAATCTCCTGTTTTATCCAGACTAATCTGCCTTTTGACGCCAACACCTTTGTCTGCTGTACAACGCCATTTTAACAGCCTCCACCACTTGACGCACGTACCTTCTTCACTCTTAATAGCCTTCATCGATTGATTTGCCGCGTCTTTATAAAGGACCACTGTGCATTGCTTTTTGCTCGAGCTGGGCCTAGCAATTTCATTCACCTCAATTTCTATGAACAGAGGGGACCAGCTTCATTTATAAGCATCATTAGAATTATGCGTGTGTGAGTTTACATTTGTGTGTATGCGTGAACATAAGTGCTTAAGTACTAATACTAAATTCTGACATGCATTTTCTTTGTCTACTAAAAGTTGGGAACTTTTCTTTGCGACTGTACAATTAAAACTCAAAACGTGTCCAATATTGAACCGAGAAGCATTTTAAAAACCTTCCTACGACGTTTTGTTTTAGCTTCTCAACGCCATTGAGGATGTTTTGGTTTCTTTTGCGCCACCAAACACACTGCATATTCTTTGGATTACTATAACAACAGAGAAAAAGAAAATCTTAACAAGAGAAATGACTTCCTCAAAGAAGTTCACTTGGTTCGCTGAAGCCAAGTTGGATATTGGTGAGTGTTGAATACGTTCCTATCTGTTGACCAGACGGAGATGAGAACTGCCAGATGGACTCTTTAGATTCCAATCATTATTTATCTCAACTCAGGGTGGATGTTAATCATGTCTTCCCAAAAAAATCTTTTACTGATCCCCCAAAACCTATCCTCCTTTTTTTTATTTACCTAAAACATGCTGACGAATAAAATGAGTGAGTTTACAATAAACTTTTCACGTGTTTTCTTTAATACTTAAACATTCACATTGATAGTGTATGTCAATGAAACAATGAAACATTCACATTGACAGTGTATGTCAATGAAATTGCTTCTTCGTTTCTTCACAACAGATATTGTTCCTTAAAAGACGGTAATGCTTCGAAGTGATTTGCCAAGTTCTGCATAATTTAATGCAGTTTACTAACATTTTACTTCTTTTGTTTTTAATTGGTCTTCTTATTATCTTTTGATTTTAATAGGACTCTCTCGTTACTAAAAGGACTGCTGGTTATCTCTTGACTCTAATTGACCTGTATTTCTCTCTTGGTAATATTTGGTCTCATTGTGTCCAATTGACCCCATCAAGTGTATCACACAATTCTAATTGACTGACCCCACCGTGTCTATTATTCAATACTAATTGACCCATCATGTATATTTTTCTTCTAATAGACCACATCGTATCTGCCACTTAATTCTAATAGACCACATCGTATCTATCACTCAATTCTAATAAGCCACATCGTGCCTATCACTCAATCCTAATTACTCGCACCGTGTCTATTATTCAATTCTAATTGAATATATTTTCTAATTAATTCTAACTGAATATATTTTCATCGTGTTTATTTCTTTCTGCTAATTTGACCTCATCGTGTCTATGTCTTAATTCTACTTAACCCCATCATTTAATTCTAATTGGTTCCATTCTGTCTTTTTATTTTCATCTCAATTAACAACATGGTGACTCTTTTGATTCTAATTGACATATTTTTATATTCTGAATGCAGTTGTTTTCCGACTGACATCACCAAGGAATTATGATGTTAAAATACATCAACAACACGAAAACGCGTTCAATTGTCCTAACAAAGTTTGGAATGATTAATACTAGTTGGAACCTATATATAAACAGTAATGTAGCACTTTGGAAAGTTTTTCATACATTACATTCAGGTATTTTCAAAATTTATATAATTAACATGTTCATTGCTGCATTGTTATAGCATTGTTGCCTGGCTGTGCTGGCCTGTTTTGGGAAAAATAAGAAATTATCATTTACTATAAATAAATGACTATAAAAACACCAGCGGCGATTTCTCATAGGTGCGGCCATTTTAGTTTTAATCAGATACTCTACAGCAGGGGTTCCAAAAACGGTGCGGCGCCTCTCATAGGTGAGGTGGAAGAAAATAGCAGGTGAGGCGGAATGATTGAAAGACAAAGGTTTCAAAAAATTCATATGCCAAAAATAAATATAATTACAAAATTTAAAATATTATTATGTATTACTTGTAATTGTATTCATGAGTGCAAGTACAAATACTTATAAATAAATATTGACCGATTTTATCATTGTGATATTTTTACTTTATATCAACTTTTAAGAATATAGTAACTAGGGTCCGAAAATTGGAGGAGAGAGTTATCTGACTTCGAATTCGTGGTTATCTCCCTTTAATCCTATCTCTCTTGTTTTTTTTTTAAATTTTATATACTTTTTATCACATAAAATTTGGTGAAGCGCGAGCAAATTTTAATTCTGAAAATGCGGCCCAGAGAGAAAAAATGTTTAGAAACCACTACTTTACAGTACAAACGAAGCTAAACAACACCTCCAACTCACAGTATAATAAAAAGAAATACATTCCCAAACAGGTCCAATTGTACATTACTATATGTATACTGGGTTTGTAAATAGCAACAAGCGTTATTTAGTTTATGACACAAACGCCAGGGACCGACATTTCACGGTGTCTTTAAAACGTATACATGCATCGACAACAGACAATATAAGTTTTACAAAGATGTCTAAGGGTGCTTAGAGCAGCAGAAGTATTAACATTAGAAGGCAATTTATATTGAATAGAATGGTTTCGGACTGGAACAAAAAATGTGCAAATAAAGATATGGGAAAATACGTTTCTAAGACTGCAAATAATGAGCAAATGAATACCATATTTTTATTAAATTTTATTGTTTTAAAATTGCTTATTTGAATTTAACAAAACCTTCAGTGAATGAGACGATCCCGATGGCAAAAGCAGTGTGGATTTTTTTTTTATTCCGCGAAAACAAATGTTACATCTTCAGCCAAGAAATAATATTATCCGTTAATAAACCGGTTATCTGTGTATATCTGAATAAAATTACCAAATAAAACCGAGGTTTTTTCTGTCGTCATTAGGTGAGATGCTTTTTACTGGGGCGCTTTTTGGCGGTGTTGAGTTTTGACAAGCGGCGGCCAGAAGAGGATAGACGTTGCGTCCCTTTTGAGCAGACTGTTTAATCAAATTCTGTGCGTACATTTGAAATTGTATTTCTTCTTGTTTCTTTAAGTCATCCGCTGCTCGATTAAACTTCCGATTATATTCTTGTAGTTCCTCTTCCTTCAGCTTCTTTTGTTCCTACACAAACAGAATTCATCAATAAATTTTAGCCACATTAAAAAAGAAAAAAATTAAAACAAAACAAAAAAAACGAAACGGCTCAATTACAGAATACATGGTTTGTTAGCAAAAGGAACAGCCCAATATGCAAAATTACAAATTTGAGATGCCAAAAACAAACAAGTACAATAAATTAAATATCTGGGAAGAGTTTTAACAGACGATGAAATGTGCGACATAAAATCCGAAGGCGTATTGGGATAGCGAACGATGCCTTCCAAAAGCGAAGCAATTTTGTTAGAAACAAAGAAAAAAGTACCGTACTGCTATGCAATATCAGTCGTCCACTATAGCAATGAATGTCGGACAGTCTTCTCACAGATGAAGAAGAGACTTGAAGCAACAGAAATGTGGTTCTACAGAAGGATGCTAAGAATAACATAGACGGAACATGTAAGTAACAATGAAGTTTTAGAGAAGAATAGAAAGAAAAAAGATACTTATACTTAACATCAAGAAGAGACCGGTGGAATTTCTAGAGCACATAATGAGAAAAGAAGGTATGGGAAATTTGATACTCACAGAGCACAGAGGAAAACAATGCATAACCTACCTAGTGAGCTTGATTAAATGGATTGCAGAACAAGATTTAAGAGAGATATAAATCAAACAAGTCCAGGAAGTTAAATATCTGGGAAGTGTTTAAACAGAGGACGGAATGTGTGACACTGAAATACGAAGGCGCATAAATATAGCGAAAGTTACCTTCTAAAAGCAAAGTATTAAGAAACAGAAAAAAATCGTTAGAAACAAAGAAAAGAATATTGAACAGTTATTTAATACCAGTCGACCTCTATGGCAGTGAATGCTGGACAATCTCCTCACTGATGAAGAGGAGAATTGAAACAACAGAAATATGGTTCTACAGAAGGATGCTGAGAATACCATAAATCGAACATAAGAACAACGACAAAATTTTAGAGAAGAAGAGGAACAAAAAGCAAATTTATGCCTAACATCAGCAAAAAAAAAACACAGTTGGAATTTCTAGAGCACATAATGAGGAAAGAGGGCTTGGAGAATTTGATACTTTTACAATCTTAATGCGTTTTCGGGTTTCAGTGTCGCATTTTCCTTGCCTTTTTCTTGGTTCTTTGGTGAGAAGCAAAGATCAAATACTTTCGTAGCAACAAACTCAACCTATTGTTGTAAAGAGACCATAACAAATAATAACTGATAAACAAATCAATTGGTTCGTTACAAAACTGAGAACAAGAGTCTATATAAACTCCCTAGCACTCATTATGCCAATTCTTACAAACAAAAATTTCATTCACTGAAGAAAAAAATTAAAGCAATAGTATTTTCCTTTTACTTTTTTTTTTGTGAATTAATTTTATCATGTCTTTTAAGCCCATCAGTCTACAGCAGCCAATTCTCGATTTTTATTTCGAATAATAAAATAATAATCTCTAAACAAAACTCGAACTCACATCGTTTAATTAAAATGAAAGAAATAATTGTTAACAATGCTTATGTCAATAATAACATTCAAGATAATATTACGAATGCTAAATTAGGCAGAAATAAATAGCAGTTAAAAATCAATGAAGTTTGACAATGCTTCATCTAATAATAAAGTTCAAGTTGATACTAATGCTACAGATAAAAAGTAGCCAAAATTTAGATGAAAGAAATATGAATTAAAATGAATAATGCTTGTTTCATTTACATCATTTAATAAAAATAAAATCAAGACAATCCTGTTTTATATTTTTAGCAAAAATAGTTTTATGACTCATTACACAGAATTAGGAAAATTTGAATAAAAAAATGAATACGTCAAAATACATAAGCAGCTTCAAACAAAATGGCAACGATTCTTTTTTATTTGACGAAAATACACATAAACTAATTCAGAATATGAGATTGTTTTTTCTTATTCAAATATCAAACTGTTATTTTAACAAACCTTCTTTACAATCATCCATTTGCATTTAAGTAAAATTAACAGCAGGACAACTTGCGGGAAATACTATAGAAATAAGATAATAAATTCGTTTCGTTTTCCTGTATGACTTGAGAAACGCTAGTATAGCGATTTTAAAATTGACGTAATGGGTCGGAAAGCACAAACAGCATTTTGAGGTCCGGTAGATGATGCTCGTTACTACACACAAAAGGGCGAAAAATATTCCGTTAAAATTCTTGAAATTCACAATTAGACGATTTTGAAACTAAGCAGCTAGACAACTTTGTTCAGCTACTGAAATTTCTTTACATTCTGTTTACTGATTGTTGAAGAACACATCATAGTTTAAAGAGGCAAGAATGTAACCATTAGGATCTGAGCGATAATCAAGTATAAAAACAATTAAATGCTAAATTAAGATGCTAAATTATCTGTGCTGAGAGATGTCTATGGGTTTCAATATGGGAGACGCTCATCCAAGATGACAGCACTTGATACTTCCAAGCTGTCAACCAACTAATGACCAGGCTCGATGTTGCTGACTTTCGGTAATCGTATACGAACCGCTGTTTCAACGTGATATGGCCGTAAACACCAACAAAAATGGAAATGAAGATTTTTTTCAGGTGACTTACAATTTGTTTCTTGTGATAATCTCGAAGAGCCAGTTTTCCTTGTTTCTCCTTCTCCATCTTTTCCAGGTCATTTTTCTGGCAAATGGCGTCTGCTTCCATCCTGTCTTTGAGATACTCACGATCAGCTTTGATTAATTCCATTTTCTTCTGCTCATCTTCCCTCTTCTGAAGAAAGCAAATTGATACAAAAAAATAAAAATAGGCAAATAATAAGACAGCATTCAAACCAAATTGAGATCAATTTCTCGCGCTTATATGAGTCTGACACAAGACAACATTTATGAGGTACAAACGCTATCATATAAGGTTATTACTGCACCTCTTATACTTACCGCTCACGCAACAACCACATTCAGTAACCCATCACCTTGAGTGAACTTCAGTAAAGAAAATAAATAAATAAATAAATGCTTGCTTGTTTCTCAGCGTGGCTAACTAATCCTTACTGCAGAAGACTGTTCAGGCACATTTGTGTTTCGTCATCTCAAATGAGCCAGCCTGTGGTTCAAACTACAACAATACTGAAGAGATATTATTTACAGGAAGTGAGCACCCGATCTGATGTGACCAATAGTTTTGAACAAGGCCGTTACGCTCAAACCCACGGTCACCATGACTTGTGACTTCGTGCAAGCATAGCCATCGACTGGATTCGAAATTTCGTGAACACACTTCCACTAACAAGCGTTGGGTCAACGCGTGGTATGGTTTTCAGGCACTTCACAATGGTGTCGCACACCTGGATCGTCTCTGTAGGCCTATGTTATCAAGAAGTTACCTACTCGTCAAACCGACTATGTATGCCGGGATTCGAACCCGGGTCTCACGGTTGGAACCACACGCCAACTCGGCTTCATATTGATGAGGTCTAAAATCAGCTGTTGCCTACACAAACAACAAATATTTTTAATATCTGAAACATTTTAATATTTTTTTTCTTTTATCTATTTTAATATATTCGTTGTGCACATTGGTTTTCGTAATTCACTGAATTTAAGGCTAAAGTTTTACCGTTCCTAAACGTTGTAGGTTGTTAGAAATTTGCTTCAGATGAATGCACTAAACTATCTTTACAAGAGCCAGATCAGACCAAAACTGAACTATTGCTGCGATATCTGGGCTTAAACTGCCCGTCTTGAGTTCAAAACATCTGCCTTATCGGTGATGAATTATTTTCTACCTTACAACCCCTTTCCCACGAAGGAGACGTCGCGAGATTCTCGCTGCTGTATCACTGCTATTTCCATGGAATGTATTCTGAAAAGCTACATTCATTAGTCCCACTACCCCTAACCTTTACAACTCGGACACTTCGTATCTTAACAGTAAGAAGTAAGTTTCATTAGGCAAGCTTAGAACTGCTGTTTTGTGGAACAGGCTCTTGATAGGATGTTTTCTAAATCACTACAATCTTGACTTCTTCAAGTCTAGGATTAACCGTTATTTTTTCCTTTCGTATTCCAATAGTAAGAAGTAAGCTCCACCCGGAGAGCTTCTTCCCAAGAACTGCTGCTTTGTAGAACAAGGTCTCGACAGGATGTTTTCCCAAACACTACAATCTTGACCTCTTCAATTCTAGGGTTAACCGTTATTTTTTCCTTTGGTATCTTAATAGTAATAAGTTTCATTAGGCAAACTTCTTCCCAAGAACTGCTGTTTTGTGGGGCAGGCTCTCGATAGGATGTTTTCCTGAAGACTACAATCTTGACTGTTATCTTTCCAGAATAGTCCCATGGGCTTCACTTCTTGCCTTTTGCTACGTTCTTGGGACTTTGTTCAAAAGTTTCTAAAAAGACACCTATTCGATTAATCTTTGTATATAAAAAGTTATGTTGTAATGGTGGCTGGCCGCTCGTATCCGTCTGCTAGGGTGGCTAGCCAATCCCTATTGTAAACGCCTTCTCACACACATTTGAGTTTGTCCGACACCCACAGAGCCCACCTGTGGTTTATACTGCAGCTATGCTTAGTTAGTTTCTGGGAAAAAGAACGTTATCTGGTCGACAGTCTGACTTGTAACTTTGTGCTAGCACAGTCATCGACGCATCCCAAATACTTCCGTCTATCCAATTTAACTCACAAGGTTTGGGTCAAACTGTGCAAAGGCTCCGTTCCTGATAAATCAAACATGATAAGATTCGAAACCGGTTCTCATGGCGAACGTTCTGGCCACTCGGCCAAGCGCCCATGTGGAAAAGTAATAATCAATGGAAAAATAAGATACAATCATATACATTCAGAATCTAGCTATTCATATCATATACAGCAATGTTAGCATCGATGAACAGAAAAAAAATACATCTTCCATAGATAAACATCAATTTCAATCACTCACTTCGGCTTTTATATATTCCTAATGATTCTTGCCTCTGTCAGCGCTTTGTGATTATCTCTAGGATTTGTAAAGGAAAGACAAGCTTTCAAAATGCCAAGTTTTATGACTTGTTAGTTGATTAGCACCACAGAGAGCGTTGTAAAACAGGTGAATATGCCATATTTGATAGATACAAGCAAATATTGATTCAGGCCATCCAATTTGAACAAAAGTTGTCAGGAGACCGTTCATTAATTCCAGATTTGTGCGTATAACTTATGATTCAGAACATTAAAAGAACTGAATCCCTAAAGCAAACAGCTTTGTTCTAATATTCGATCTAGTTCTTTGCATTTAACTGAAAGCATTCCGAATTGATATTTACAAAATTACATTGGTTGGATACAGTAGATGTCAGCATTGATTATTTCAAATGTTCTTCTCTAATCTTTTTGATATTTTTTAAGATCCTGAATGATTTAATAACTTTACATTATTCATTAATCTGATTTAAGGTCTCTTCATTAGCTAGAACACGGATCCTTAACCTGGGTGGAGATTCCACCTCCAGGAGGATTCGCAGTAGGGAGATTATCCCCAAGGTGGAATTTCATGGTTTCACTGAGGAGGGAAAAATCTTTTACTTTTATTATTCACAGAATGTTTTTATTGAATTCCAATACCCTGGCATTCTATTGAACTTTTTTGTTTATTGAGGTATACTTCAGTTTATTTAATTCATAATTAATTATGAATTAAAACAAATTACTCTACAATGTATTCAAATTTTAAAATCCATCAACGTTTTCTATTGCTATTAAATTTGTAAAACTCCTCTATAAAATGAATCTATGTAAATGTATATGTACTTATATGGAAAGTACACTAATATATGCTTATTATTTGGAATGGATCTTTTGGGTTGGATAATCTTGGAAAGGGAGTTAATTACAGTCTGACTTATGGTGAAAAAGGTGCATTGGGCAAAAACAATGCCGAGAAGCACCGAGCTAGATAATTTTGGTTCAATAACAGGAGCGGATATGAAGCGTTTGAGATTCAATATCATCCGTGATCAGTATTATTCCTGGAAAAAAATGACTATATCCATGAGTATTATACAGTTTAACCATCACTAATCCGTTAGTATATATACTTATTTTTTGGATTGCTAGTTGTGATTAATGGAACATCTGCAATATCCATGGGTAATGCATAGAAAATCCCAAGATTTTATCAGTGGTTCGAATAATCTTGAAATTCTAGAAATCTTTTTCCAGAAGAAACCTAGCGAGATCTTTTTCTTCAAATGTATTCAATTTGTTTAACGAAGGCTCAGTTCATTTGCACCCAATTTCATCTATTTTCCTTTGCATTTTCTTTTCTCTTTAATTTTACCCTCCCCTCCATGTATGGCAACGTGTCGGGGGTGAGGAAGTTAGCACGAAGGTTAACAGTATAGAAAACTGAAATGGTGAAACAAGTTCAAATTCTCTGAGATAGTTTTCTTAATCAATTCACCCCAATCAAGGCGATAATATCACTAAGAAGCAAGGGGGCTACTGGAAGTGAAAGAGAATGAAATGACTTTAGAAGGAACCGGAAACCCAATCCTAAACAGGAATCTGCCACATTCTCGGATCCATGAGACAAGATAAGTTTGACGAAACTCTCCACAGGCTAAAAAAATTATTGTACGAGTTGTACGCGAGTAGGGATATGGTTTTCACTTCCATATTGTCAACTTAGCTTGACACAATCACTGACTCATCCGCTTGAATTCTTTTCCTTTCACCAAAACGCCACATTTACATGCCACACTCTTTAACAGATACCAAAATACCACAATCTTTCCATGAATTACTAATTAGTCCTAATTTTTTTTATTTATCAATTCACCCCAAGCAAAGCGACAATACTATTAAGACACAAGGGGATACTGGGAATGAAAGCCAATGAAAAGACTTTAAAAGGATAAAATCTCTAATCCTGTTCAAAAGAGAGGGTCGTGAACCGGGCGGTAGGCGAACATATCTACTCCTATTAAATGTTTGTATTCATTTAACACTGATGCCCTAAATGAAATTCTTCTAAGAAATTAGATTGAGAAGTGAATACCATATAACCCAAAATAAACTGTCACGTGTCACATGAAGAAGAGATGGACACAGTCAAACCTCAATTACCCCACGAGAAATACCCGGAAAAGGATCCAGCAGCTTACTAGTTTATCGGGTAACTTGACTGAGTTCAGACATAACAATTCTGTTCTGGTACAGTCATTTATTATTACTGGGGCATCCTATGTTATAACATAAATGATCAATGTAGGTGGTGGCTGGGCGGCTACCACGTCTTGCGCCATGTTTAGGTGTCCAGACTAGTAAATTACTCGCAAGTTCTTGTTTTGCTTGCCAGCAGTGTCCTGCAAATGCACATTCTGCGTTCACGTAAAATTGTCGAAATCTCAGGAATTGGTCCATGTGATTTAGTTAGATGTTGTCTCCAAGAGATGTTAAGTATAACTCTCAGCATCCGAGTGTAGGTTCCATGAAGCTTAGACTCAAGGGTTTTGATTTATGCCCAATCAGCGGCACCATACATTAAAACCGACTCTACAGTGGCTCGATAGAATCTGGCCGTTTGAGGTTTTCTACTAGATCAGATTTCCAGATTACATCAATTTTATTCTGTCTGAAGCTTATGAATTCAATTGACATAGAGTCCAACATTGTTAGTAACGTTTAGATAATGTAGGGGATCTGTGGCATGAGGACATGGGTCGATTTTGCAACCCGTAGTATTGTACACAAATTTGAAAGTTGGAGTTTGACATTACAAATAACGACACAAAATATTTTTCCAAATCGTTACCGTTTTTTGAAGAAACGAACTTAATGATTAAGTTTAGGTTCAAAATCCTAGTGTTGGAATTTCATTCCGGGGATCAGTGAAAATCTTATAGCACAGCCTTATAAAATTTATAATTTACTGAAGCTTTACAAATTTTATATGGACAAGATGTAAGGCACAAGCACATTATTATTAGACCATTTTACCATCAAATAAGAAATTAAACTGAACAATTTAGCTATATTATAATGTTACATATTATACAGGGCAGTAATTTTAGTGTGATTTTCAATAAACAATGTAAATTTAAAACATTTTGTTTTATAATTTGTGCCCAGCAGTATTATGTTGTTATATACAGTTTTATCTATTTTTTTTTTTTTTTAATTAATTATGATCTAACAAATCTTATTCATTGAGTAGCCATTTTTGTAATCATTTACAATTTTTTACACAGTTTTTCTTATCGAATACAGTAAAAACATTGCATATTTTGCTTGTGGTGATTAATTAGAATTCTGATTTTAATATATTTTCCTATTCATGTTTCTAATACAAAAATATCAACTTTATTTGGATTTATTCTTGAGATAGTAAAATTTTGAAGTCAGTTTATAAGCAAAAATCTGTGGAAATTGTGTATTTCTGTACATTTTTTCAGACGGAAAATTCAGACTAAATGCTCAAAAATTGGTAAAATCTACGAATCTAATGTCAGTATTTATCCCATTAAAGTCCAGCTTTTACACTGAGTGCAATGTTGATTTTCGTTAAAAAAAAATGAAAAATCAACCTGCCCTACTGTAGCATTGATAACCTTCAATTCGTTATACGCTCGTTCAATTTAGTCTTGTCTTGTGAATCTCAAATTCTTACCTTTTCCAAGAGGTGCTGCTGACATTGGGCCACGACTTCTCGACGTTTTCTTTCTTTCTCTTCCTCTTCTGCTTTCTGCTTGGCATCCATTTCCGCTACGGCCTTCGCAATCCTTTCATCTTCATCATCTTTCTTCTTCTGCATATTGCGAGAAAGTTTATCCACGATAAAATCCAAATATTTCTGCCTTTCACTGAAAGAAAAGAAAAAACATTATGACGATGTTTTGTATTTTATGTTATGGCGCATTTTGATCATAACTTCAACTTTTTCTTCAAATAAGGATAATAAATTGGGAATTTTCTTTAAAACAAAACGATATCAGAGAGAGCAATACAGGTGCAGGGGGTGGATATGCGCAATGATGGATTTAAATATGGGCTAGTATAGGCTGCAGCCTAGGAGGCCCAATACTAGAAGCGCCCCCAATGGTCCTTTGGCCTTGTACCCCTGATAAAATTAAAAATATAAAGATACAATAACGGAAGAGATTTGTTTATTTTCAGATTTAATGAGTCTCCGTTTGACTAATTCGAAACGATTTATAATATTTGAGCCTCTCTAGTTGGGGTAGGTCTTTAAAATTTGATTCAAAATGCAATCTTTTACTCTGATTATAGCTGCTCTCGAAATCAATTTGGACAAGAGAGCAAAAGCATACACTCTTATCACTAAAACCTTTTCCTTTTTTAGTTAATGTGAACATTTCTGAAGACGGTTTGTCACAAAAAGTTGATAATCTTATCAAAGCTTATCTTGAAGATGTGAAGCATTTTCATATGTATTTGAACAAGAATTTCTGCATCAATATCGGATTATTTTTAACAAGATAAATTTAGCATTTCCTAATGTTGTATGTTTTAAGACTTTTTTTCTGTATATGATGGCAACTAAATGTTGCAGTGAAAGATCTTTATTTTTCTCAACTAAAAAGAATCAAAGTATTTTATGTATTGAGTGATAAACTGTGTGAAATTTCTTTTGATGATTTAATCAATGACTGTTATAAATAACTCAAGAAAAAGTTATTTTTCTACTGTACTAATGTATTTGATAATAAAGGCACTAAAGTAAATTTCCAAAATCATTAAAAACTTTAGTTGAAATGTTTTATACCAAAAAAGTATCATCTCTTCGTTAAAACGAATTGAGTTCTCTGGTCACTGGCGTGTTTGTCTAAAAATAAATACGTCTAAATTCACCTTCATCCCTGCCGTGCGTCAATGGTAAAACCTCCGACTGATACCAAATCAGTCGGGTTACGATCCTAGCTTGAGACAATCGGATAAGCTGTAAACGCTGTATATATATATATTGTCGATGACAGTATAAATACATGCTCCTGAAAAAATGATTTCCGTTGAGGCAATCGGATGTCTAGCCACACTGATGAGCTGTGAAACACCAAAGCAGTCTGTCTGTGGATGACAATATATATATATATATATATATATATATATATATATATATATATATATATATATATAGAGAGAGAGAGAGAGAGAGAGAGGGGGAGCGAACATACGTAATGAAGAGGCCCCAAATTCTATTAGCCAGGGGTTTCTTAAATCCTAAATCCGACCCTAGCTTTGGATTTGTTTTTAGAGATGAGACAAAAGCATTTAATAAGAAACGACACAAGGATCGATTTGAACTGATAGGAAAACGAAATCTATTTTAAAATGATTTTAGATTAATGCAGAACTTATACTGGTAGCATATCATCTGCATATGGAGAGAAAATGAATTGAGTAGCTATACAAAAACAGAAAGTGGAGTGAAAAAAAGATGTCTTCTTCTCAGGTTTATTCAACATCTACAGTGACTCTATCCTAGGAGAAATGGGTGAAACCGGAGACCCTATCAGGATTTACTGGTGGGGGTAATCTCAATGATACAAGGAACGCGGGTGAAACTGTGTTGATGGTCGACTCGGAAAGGAAACTATAGAACCAACTAGACAGGGTGAAAAGCAAGAAAAAGGACAAACCATGAACCACAAAATCACTTCTCTTTCTGTTCAATAATTAAATTTAAAGTATGGTCATCAGTAAAAGTCGAAGATGCTAGTTACGTAGGGATATCGTCATCTACTGTCTTCCTAATTCCTGTTCTTTTATTGACAGTTCTTGCTCATAAGTTTTCTTTTCCTCGTGTTCTTTCACACTCAGTAACCTGCATCTTGGTTACTTTATTGCCTTACTTGGGGTGAAATGATTAAAAAAAAGTAATAAATGGATGACCTGAAAAGGATTAAGGATTCCCTATAGTTTTATATTATTGAAGATCTTAAAAATATCAAATCGATTTAAAGAATTTAAAATAATCGATATTGGCATTTTCTAACTAATCCCAAAGAATATCATTATATCAGAATATTATTTCAATTTTGTTCGACATTTTGGTTCTGCGTTGTTGAAAATATTCCGGTAAGTGTTTAATTGAAGTTTTTGTCTTGTTTTGTTCGTTTGTTTGCTTGCTTGCTTGTTTTGTTTTGTTTTTGCTATGAAATGTTATTTCCTCCGTATTTCCTCATCCTAAGGTAGTCGTTAATCTCGCGTATCGTATTCTGCCCCTCCCATTATGGATTGAGTACTTATATAGTCTCTATGCCTTAGCTATGCTAATCGGACAGTCATTTACGTCTCACTACAGTTTTTTTTTTTTGTTTTGTTTTTGTTTTTTGGTTTTTTTTTTTTGTTTTGGGGGGTTGTTTTTTGTTTTTCAATTAAAATTTCCCTTTTATATAACGAAAAACACAAATGACAGATCCGGTTTTGTAAAAGCAAATTTCGATTTGTGTTCTCCGACTCCTAACTTCAATGAGCCTTAAAAAAGACTTTAAGCTTTTGAAAACAAGAACGTTACTTACTCGGCTATTTCTTTTTCTCGAGCTGCTCGCAATTTCATCAATTTTCGTTTGGCGTCAGCATAGATTCGACATTGTTTATTGTCTTCCTGGAAAACATAAATAAAAATCAGTGTATAGAAATGAGCTGAAATGCTTTGTGAGCAAGATTTAAAGTTGGGGATGTAAAATATGTACAACTACTAGAAACCTTTTTTTTTTTTTCAAATATTTTTCATATTACTATAGATTAAACACTCCATATCAAAAATATAAAATCATTATATATATATATATATATATATATATATATATATATATATATATATATATATATATATATATATATGAAATGGACAAAGTCCGCCAATTATTTTTAAGACATTTTTATGTTTATACGTTCTTTTTTAGATACAAATATATATGTGACGTCATTTGTTTACATTTGGATGCGCTTTGAGCAGATATGAATGTACGTGAGAGATTCATGGAAAATGGAAGTTTAAAGACAGTAAATTCGACCTTGCTAACCGAACGCTCTTCTGTGGCCAAGCTAAATGACGGTTCTGTATAGGATACAGGTTCGAATCCTGTCGGAGGACGGATATTTTCTGGGAAAATTTCTCGGGCATTTAGGCCGGTAAATGTTGTTTAATACTGTTTATTATAAGCAGAGCATTTACTTAAATATTTGTATCTATAAAAAGATGTATAAACATAAAAAAATATATATATATATATATATATATATATATATATATATATATATATATATATATATATATATATGCATGTTTCATTAAAAACGACAGACAAGGTACTACGGTTGAGCTTTTTATTTAATTTTTCTTGTGTTCTGAAAAGAGCTTTCTTTTCTGGACAAAGGGTGTATAAGAACTGTCCAAATGTTCTATATTTCCGAGCGCTTTCGGCTATACCTTTAGCCATTATCAAGGATGATTCGATTATCAGCTTAGTAGAGTGTGTGTGTTCTGTGTATGTTCAGTGTGTGGTAGTGATGTTTTTAGTTTCCGAATACGGTTAGCACTTTGGGACTTTGTTCACTACCACAGTGGAAGGTGAAAACAATTGTAGAAAAAGGTACATCGGATGCACTGAGAGCCAGTTTAAGAGGAGGTGATATAATCACGCCTCATCTTTTAGAATTCCGGAACGTAGATACAACACGAAGCTAACAAGCTGTTATTTGAGGTTTAGGAAGAGGCACAACAAAAACCCGAACATTAAATGAAGTATATTAAGAAATCTAAAGACTAACACAATAATTGGGAATACGTGTCGGCTAAGTCAAGAAAAAAAAAACTAGTTATAGCAACGTATAAGGTCAGTACTCAACTACTGAACGGGAGGTCAGAGATCATGACCAAGTGTAGATACGTTCAGCTTGGGGTTATTTAAAGCCAGATAATGTTAATTTTTTTACACCTCCCGCCACTACTTCCGGTTTCGAACGAAAGCGCTTAAGTCGTTGAGCTCCATGTCGTTGATTAACTGAACAAACCACCTGAGGAGACAGTAGTGGTCGAAACCGCGGTAGGTCAGCATTCATTTTTTGAAACATTAAACAGCTCTGCAAATCTGGTTTTCGAACAATCTTAAATATTTTACAGTTTGTTTACTCTATTGTATATATATATATATATATATATATATATATATATATATATAATATTACATTTTAAGAAATCACGTCTTATGAGCCTATTTCTTTTGCCTTCCATAAGGGAGATCAATTTTCATAGCAAACTGTGCTTCCCTATTTACTTTCATGAAATATAATACGACTTTGATATTCATGTTTTGGAGTACTTAATTTATGTCAACATTATATCCTCCTTATCCTCTTTCCACTATCTACACCACTGCCCTGTTCATCCAATCTTTTTTGCTTGCTGTCCCAACTCTATCGTTTGTTGAGGGCACAAGTAAGGTTTATTAAAGTTGAAACAGTTTCTGAACCCAGGCATGAAAATGAATAAGAGTTAAATAGGAATAAGATAAAGTTTTAAAATTCCTTAAGTAAATCTATTTCTTCGAGAATGTATTACGCCACACTATAACCTGCTTCTCCTATACGTTGCATCGATCGCCTGATAACATGTAATCAATGGACATCTTTACACGGCATCCGTTATGATTCGTCATTCAGATGTACAACAGTATTGTGTGATGAATATGTTTTCGTCTCTTTACAAAATGAAAGGACTTCAGGTTAAAGAGTAACATTAGTAGTCGTAGCAGAAGTCGCGGCAGCCATTTTTTTTAAATTGTTGATAGATGAAACATTTTCGTTCAAATGATATACAAATCAAATACAAAATGTTGACTTATTGTAAACAAACCAGAGACTGACGTTTCAGATCACAATGTGATTTTAAGGTAAAAGGCTAAGTTCTTTCGTCAGAATTTTCATTCTTTCATGGATAGAATGTCGAGTTCAAACTACAGCATTGCATTCGTTTTCACACAAATACGCTAAAATAGTATGTATCCACCTATTTCTCTTCGGAAGCCAAACTATGAGAAGAACAGTTCTAAATTCAAAACCTGTTGGCCGCGTGGCTATCAATCCCACTCTGTAAAATCCTTTTTGCTCCAGAAATCACAGGAAGCAACCCCTAACGTGAATTTGCGACGCTAAACAACACAGAGACCTAAATACATATATCCATGGATGAAAGAGACTAGAATTACTTATTATTTTCAAGTTGTTTTGCAATTTGAAGCGTTTTATTCTTGTTTATTTTTATTTTTTCTTTTGATGAAAGATCTTTATAATGCATTGAAATTAATTTTCTTTTCTCTCTATCTCCCCTTCTCTTTCTCTCTCCTTCCCTCTTCCCGCATAATTTCTGTGGATGGTTAAGCAACAAAATCTAAATCTTTCTACTAAAAATGAAAAGGATAGCACAAGTAGAGACTGTCATGCTTCAAACTGTTCGTAGCTTAAACCTTTGATATTGAAAGAGGCGTCAAGTGTGCATCCCATGAAAGTATTTTTTTGGTGATGCAGGGTTGAGAAAGAACGAAAAACCAGAGAGGCTACAGAAACTTATACGAAATTAAAACTTTCATTAACAAAACGACACAGACTTGCAAGTAAAGCTAAACTTGGAATATCGATCTGTCCCTGTCAGCAATACTGTCAGAATATCTCTATATTTAACTAAGCCATCTGCCAAGAAGAAAGGACAAATAAGAGCAACGCTGTCCTCGACGTGTCGACGTCGATAACAGAACAAAAACAACTATATCTGGTTGATCCTGCCAGTAGTCATATGGTAATATTAATGATAGTATTAGCCGTTTCCTTATAATAAAACATTCGACATTTATTAACCGAGAATTTAGACTTAGTGTCTGTTGAAATTTGTAAAATATTTATCTTACAATATTTCAGGAAAATAGGCTTCTCAAGTTTAGTTGTTGTTAATAGCCCTTTCCAGTATTGAAGGGGGCTTTCTTCCTTTGGGTAGAGTGCAACGACAGGATCTTGATTATTATCATTATTCACTCTTAGAGTTACAGGTGCTATTCCATTTAGTTGTTGCTGCTCTTGGTAGTCCACAAGAGATGCGCTTTCTTTTATTTGGTATAGTTCTTTGTTTGTGATTGTGTAGCGCCAGTCCACAATGTTCAATGAAGGATAGTCCTCGCTGATATTTCTGAACTAGTTTGGCGGCATATATCTCATTTATATGTGTTTTCTGTTATCCAGTGCAGTTCTTTGTTTGTGATTCTGTAGCGCCAATCCTCGAGGTTCGATGAAGGCGTACACGCTTCACTCATTGGAAGCCATTTTTGACTATCGGTATGAAAAAGCGGTTGTAAATAGCTGACGGTTTAGATATTTCTGAATGGGTTTGGCGCATGCGTAGAATCCATATGTAAGTCTCGATCTGATGAGGCTATTTAAGAACATGAACTTCGTTTTTAGATTAATGTGTTGGTTTTGTAGCAGCTTGCTGTGTTGGGCGAAACTATCCCTAGCGGGACCTATTCTATGTTCAATTTCCTTATCTCCTAACCAGAATTTGTTGTAACTGATCCTACAATGAGGTATTTGAAATGTTAAGTATTTACTAATTCCACTTCATGGGTTTTTTTTTTTTTAGACGGTTTCAGCTTACGCGCCATCATTGCTTTTATACCAATTCCAGATCATTGCTTCTGTTTTGGAAAGGTTTAATTTGAGTCCTACTTCTTGGAATAATTGATTGAGGATGCTGATATTTTTTGTTCAAGATCATTCTTGTCCTAAATATGAATACCCATGTCATCAACATAGAGCCCCCCACCACTCCTCCTGTGTACATTGAGGGACACCAAGAAAGCTGTTTTCTATTAGTAGATTAATTTTGAATATGATGATTTTCTATAGGGAGCTTAGATGTGTCACAAGGCCGAAAGTATGGGGCACCCAGTGAGGATCGAAGTCCCTATTCAGTCGTAATTGATCTAGCGAGATAAGCTTGCTAACTATTACACCACATCGATTCTAAGGGTAGCTTAGATGTAGCACAAGGCCGAAATTGTGGAGAACCCAGTAAGGATCGAACTCACTAAGTCGTAACTGATCTAGCTAGACATGCTTGCTAACCTTTACACCACTCGAAGTTCTCGATTCATTATGGAATGCTTAAATGATCAGTGCCCATGTCTTCGCGCTTGTGAATGTATATGCGCAGATCATAATCTAGGAAAAGATTAAATAGATTAAAACACTCATTTCCTCCTTGAGGTACTCCTGATGTCCTTTGATATATTGCAGTATATGGGCTCCTCTTCTGTTTGGAATAGGCTGGGAGATTAACCCTTTCACTGCTGCATTGATATAGCATTGTTGTCTGGCTGTGCTGGCCCGTTTTGGGAAATTGCCGTTTACTAGAAATAAATAACTATAAAAACTTTGACTGTGTCTTCTCATGGACGCCGCCATTTTGGTTTCGATCGGGTACTCTGCTGTATAGATAATGCTACACGACAGTCACTATACAATAAAAATACATCACAATACATCAGAAAAAAGTCGTTACTATAAATCTAGTCTTGTTTATCAATAGCATTAAGTGATAACTGGTTTTAGCTTACGGCTACATCACGTTCAAACACCAGTTCCCGTATAATTACCGGAGTTAAGCAAAGTCTGGTCAGTACCTAGATGGGTGACCGCTTGGGAAGAAAAAGTGCTATAACTTTGAATGTGCAGGTGATGTAATGGATAATGTCTCGGAATTGCTAATCGGAGAGCCGAGTTCCAATTCCCGTTGGGTTCGTTACAATCTAAAAAAATTTTCACGCCTTAAATAACCTGCAAATGTTGATAAACCGTAGAAAACGAAAAAGAAAATAGCTGGTTTTGCAACACAATCACAAGAGACAGATATTTAACGATGTTTTGAAAACGTATATATACGTCAACAGCAAGCAATGTAAGTTTTGTAAAGACGTATAAGTACGTCCACAGCAGCACAAATGTTAAATAGGATTACAATTTCTTCTACAGACCGACGAGAGGGTGGCGTAATGGATAGTGGTTCGGAATGAGAAATCGGAGAATCGATTTCGAATTCCAGTCGGGTTGCATTCACTTACGCGCAGATATCCTTGAAAAAAGTATAAATGCCTCTCCTCACTCCCCAGATATGGGTTAAATAGTATATTGTATCTGGAAAAATAATTCTTATTCTCCAAAAAAAATGTTAATGCACTCACAAAAAAAGAGAATTATTCTTATACTCCCAAAACATTTCGACTTTAAATAACTTACATGGAGTTGATAAACCGTAAAAAATCACTCTGTTACAGGCATGTTTTTAATTTCATTAAGAAGAGGAATAATATTTTTTCTAATAACTGAGCACATTAAAATTAAGGATTTCCCTTCATGATCATTGTTGCAAATACAAACTTGAACAGCCAGTCAGAATGGTTTAGCCAAGTAAATCGCATCGCAATTCTCTTACCTCTTCCAATTGCTCTTGTAATTTGCGAATATGTTCGTTTTCTTCAATTTGCTTTCGGTTTTCCATAGCGCTTCGCTTGACATTCTCACGATGAAGTTTGTTCTGTTCTTCTTTTTCAAGTCGCCATTGTTCCGCTAATTTATTCAGTTCCACTTGTTCTTTTCTCATCTTGTCTTTCTCTTTTTCCTTCAAGTCCAAGGTGCGGTTAATTCTGAATCATAATAATTAAAAAGTGTTGAAGAACTGAACATTATTATGGAGGAAGAAATAAAATGAAACCCGATTTCGCCGAGATTAATTAAATCCCTTGAAGATAATTTCATCATCATGTGCAGATGACTTTCAAATGATTCGATGACATATAAATTGATTTAAAATGCTTTGATGATGTATAAATGAATTTTAAATGATTTTAAGATGTCTGAATTACTTTTAAATGATTTTATGATGTCTAAATGAATTTTAAATGATTTGATGATGTCAAAATGTCTTAAATAATTTGATGATTTTTAAATGATTTTATGATGTATAAATGAATTTTAAATGATTTTAAGATGTCTAAATGAATTTTAAATGATTTGATGATGTCAAAATGTCTTAAATAATTTGATGATTTTTAAATGATTTTATGATGTCTGAATTAATTTTAAATGATTTTATGATGTCTAAACGACTTTTAAATGAACAATACGGGAACGTATCGATCGAAAAATAATGATAAAGACAGTAAAATAAGTATAATACTGACATGATATGCAAACTAATTGTTAATATGTTAAGTTCTATGGTGTAAATTTTCCAGAATCTATTTTACATATTTATAAATCTTCCATTCGTCCATGCTTAGAATATTGTTGCCACATATGGTCCGGTGCTCCTGCTATTTACCTTGCACTCTTTAATAAAATCCAAAGAAGAATCAGCAATATTATTGGTTCTTATCTGGTGACTCGGCTTTAGTCACTTTCTCACCGCCGTAAGGTTGCCCCTCTGTACCTTTTCTACAAATATTTTTCGTGGCAATTGTTCGAATGATTTCTTCGCTATAGTGCCGAGACTTTTTAAAGTTAAGCGCCGTAATAGACTGACGTCGAGATCACATCACATCATTAAAATACTTCGTGCTAGGCCAACCATCGACGGTCCTCAAGTAGTTCGTTCAACCCAATTTCACTCACAAGGTTTGAGTGAGACATGGTTTTATTTTTTTTGGGGGGGGGGGTTAAGACACTTTTCAAAGTCGTCGCACGCTGAGATCGCCGATGACATCCTGAAAAATTGATCATATGAATGTACATTGCCACTAAAAGCTGCATGTTTGTGTGGTTGGGTTAAATTTACGCTTTCATCTAGCAATTTCAACTGTAAAATGATGAGACCTAACTGCCAGCTAACTAGTACTGCACTTTAATTCGTAACGTCAAGGTACCAAAGAGAAAAGCTCACCAGAACAATTACCATGAAAATATTTATAGAAAATGTACATGTTAAGCTACGCAAAGATTGAAGCTGAGATGCCAGGTCAGGACCGATAACGTGGAAGATTTTGCTTTAGATTTTGCCAAGAATATCTTGATATCCTTGCTTCCCTGATGACTACAATCTTCACAAATTTAAATTCAACGTCAATCGCTATCTTCTGTCTTCTTGAATCCCATTCATCTTTTGTCATTTCCTCAATACTTCTTATACTCAGACTTTTCTTTTACTTTCATTCCCTGTAATCCCCTGCGTACTAGTGGCATTTCCACCTTGCTTGGGGTGAAATTATATATATATATATATATATATATATATATATATATATATATATATATATATCAAAAAGCACCAGGTCAGATATGACAACAATATTCAATCCATGGGCAAATAGTAGACTTAAAAAGAGGTAAGATTCTGGCGAGAAAAATTGTCTAGCACGACACAGTGAACCGACCCTTTTCTAGAAGGAGACTTAGCAACTGATACAATATAATCTTTCCACGACATGTCAGCTTAAAACATTAGGCGGAGAAGGCGCAATAAGTTACTCCCTTGCAGGTTAGCATCAGCAATATTGATGGAAGGCAAAAAAGATTCTCTAATATGACTAAAAGAGAGAAGTTTAATTTTTGAGGTGTTAAAATTAACAAGCCATTTCTTGCCACAGTTAACAACTGATTAAAGGTCATTGTCGAGATCAGCTTGCATCCTAAAGTGCTTGGACGTAGGAATCAAGCATATTTTTGTGTCCGGGAAGGTGTCACTGTACAATGAGTCTATTTTGATTTGGACACAAATATTAATGATTTTTAAGTAGAACTTTATGTAATGCCTTACTGGGATTTAACAAACTCTGCCTTTTCCATGAGGCTCTTTCGAATCTCCATTATCCTGAGTTTCTCGATTTCCATTATCTTCTCATTTTCCTCTTTCACTTTGTCCGCCCATTGCTTTTCTCGGATTTTGTCGTTATCGGCCAACATTTGTTTGAGTTTAATTTGTTCCTCTCTTTCTTTCATCACTTCAGTCATCAGATAAGCACTCTGCAAAGAATTAAGGAGAAAAATCAGTTTATTAGTTGTTGTTTTATCTCTTTTAATTTTAATTGTATTTGTTGGTTCCAATCCCGTTAGAAATGATTGCAAAATATTTCTTGAGGCTCTCGAAAATATACTGTTTAAAAATCAGAGTCGCCTGATCAAATTATTCGTCTGTTTAAGAAAATGCCAAAAGAATTGATATGGCTACAGATAAACACAGGGAGCCTGCTTCTGTGACTTACGTGAAGATTTCTGACCCTTTCTGTCTGATAGTACTGTTTCTCTTTGGCTTTTTCAATGATATCCTTCCGTAATGCTGCCTGGTACTCGGCCCATTCAAGATCCATTTCCTTTCTTCGTTCTTCGGCGGACTCCTTTTTTTTCTTGATGTCGTCCAATTTCTTTTGGCGTAGGTTCTACGAAAATGACAAATAATGTCGAAAGATAAAAGAAAACAGATTATGAACAACCGAACACGATTTTTTTTTTTAATATTTTTAAAATTTTCAAGATCATTAATCTAATTTTCTTGCAGTTGCTGCTGTTTTAAAAATGGCCTATCAATCCTACCACATTCCACAGATCTTCCTTGGTATTAAGATAAACTACATCCGGCACCAAGGCCTTTGGTCGGGAGATTGGTGGTTTTGAAGAGCGTGAAACTACCTCTTAAATGTTGTTGTTCCCAGGTTCACCATGACCCGGAGTAGTAGCACTTGTTAGGGTCCAAGTTATGGGGAAATAGTGAACCCCTAAACAAAAATAAACAGTACATTTTTATGATAATATGACCAACAATACATTTTTTATAGTAAAAGGACAATAAAAATAGCAGTAAAAAAGTATAAAACATACGTTATTATAGTAAAATTACCAGCAATACATGTTTATAAAAAAATTACCAGAAAATACATTTCATTACAATTCGTTAAAACTACAGACTAAAAATTTGTGATTTATTTTCCTGAAACGAGCTATTGACACAACTTCAAACGTGTAAATTCGTAAATAAATTCCTTATGTTTTTTTTATTAAAAATAACCATTCTGTTTCCTCGTCATTATCATCCCCCATTAATCTTCTTGGCGTGGGTAAATCAATTGTTTATTTTATCTCTAATCCTACGCCACTATACAGATACTTTTCAGTGCCACCGAATGTGACACAAAGTTGAAGTATGTTTAACGGCAATACCATGGAAAAATTGCCCAAGGCCCCTCGGCACTTCTCCGTTTAGGGACGCCTCAGATGCCGGGCAATAAACTCAGCCCCCGCCAGAAGGAGAGGTATTGTCTGGAGAGAAGACCCTCGGAGACCCAGGCTACTATACATTCAGTTAAAATATGTTTCACCGTGAGTACGGCTTGTCATGTTGTACGTGTTGGTTAATATGCGATGATCAGCATGAGGGTTTCTCAAGGGTTAAAATGCGATAAAAATAAACTCAAGTTTATGTTTACCATCAAGCTGTTGGGCCAGTTTTTGACAATATTTTCGGATTTTTCTTTCATCCGTTCTTTTCTTTCCTTCCATCGTCGGACTTTCTCTGCTTCTATTTCCTTCCAATGGAGCTCGTCTTGAATTCTCTGCCAATCTTTTGCAGTTAGCACAGTCACCTGTCGAAGGTCAACATTTGGCTTCACTAAATGCACATGCAGCATGGAATCTACAGAGAAAGACAAAGAGGGGTTGCATTTAATAATTAATCAAGTTCTTTCAAAGAAAATACACCTGATGAAAGATTGTACGTTTTTATTTTACTAGTAGACTACCCGTGACCCGTAGGGTAACTGACGGTTCAGGTTATAAAACAGTGAAGTTGATTTCAACATACCATTAAAATGAAAGTTAATTTTATTATGATTCAGTTAAATATTTCAATTCTTTCGTGTTATCATTGGTCTGGTTTACAAGTTCATTTTTTAACGTTTTATTGATTGTTTACAGCATTTAATAATAACATAACTTCCGGGATAAACTTTTAATTTTAATTTTTAAATATGCCAAAAATTATTTTTTTTAAATATTTAAAATATTTTTTATTTAATAAAAAAAAAAAAAAGCCGAAATATAAAAAACTGAACAAAACAGCAAAGCGGGATTTCTTTTTGTCTATCATTAACGTTAAAATATTTTAATTAAAAAAAAATGTCTGATTAAAATTAAAATAAAAATATTACTGTAAACAACTCGTATTTTTAAATCTTATTCACTTAAATCAGATTAATTTAAATCATTATGCACCGGACGGACGCACCACACAAGCACGTACGTAATCACAGACTTTTAGCATTGTATAGATTTAGATGTGCGATTAGCCTGTTATCGGAACATAAGAGGGAGTCATCGAGCGGGCTTCAAATTCTGCTACATTAAACTTTACTTAAATGCCCTGGGGAAAGGCATTAAGCTATTTCTCCCCGACACCGCTAGCTAATTGTCAAATAAAGTAGAATGGGCTTTATAGCCTTGTGTGGCAGCCAGCCTATGAGAAGGATAACAGTTAATTAAAAATCTAGGAGAAAGCAACGGCAAGCCACTCAAACTATCTTTCCCAGAAGTCATGGTAATTCACAAATAATAAAGAATAGAAATCTGTGGAGAACCATAATCGCCTACGTCCTGAAGAGACACGGTATTAAAACATGATTTCCATAATTGAATAATAGAAAGCAAAAAAGGATACGAAAATGTCAGTTGCAACTTTTATGCCTGAAAATATTTTGATTTAATCTAAGTGAGTAATGAGTTGAAAAATTAATTTAATGTATAGGTAATTAAATGGAGTTTTGCTTTCCAGGGATATTTTTAATTATTTTTTGTCGATCTTGGCACTACAATTAAGGAACAATGCTTCTTCTTTTCATTTTGATAGCTTCGAAAATACGTTCGATCTCAAATTAAAAGAAAATAATCATCGAAAAAAGTTTTTTTTCCCGAAAGTATTTGTTGCGTAATGTTTCATTCGCGCAGTTGTTATGTCAGACTATACAATTCATTTTATTTTGTAACTTAAGTACAGTTTTGTCATGTTCAAGCGATTGTACGTTCACCCTTTTATACAGAACCCAACAAATGTGGGCTTCGCCAAAACGCTCGTTAATAGCCTAAACATCCCATAATTCTGGCAACTTCAATCCAGAGGTCGACATATTTCTTAAGCTTGTCGATTTCTTTTACTAAACTATTAAGGTCACCAGAAACGTTCACGCCGATATGGAGACATGTTTTGTTTCTTTGCCAATGACGCTCGAAGCCCTAAAAAGTCTGTCTCTCTCTCTCTCTCTCTCTCTCACACACACACACACACACACACACACGTAGAATAAGAACGCTACCGACAGGGCGCATTCGTTTCTTTGGTCCTCTGTTGACTTTTGAACTCTCTCACATACACACACGTGTCTATCATACACAAGCACATTCTCACGGCGTGTTTCAATGTCTTTACTTTCATTTCAATTATGTACACATGTAATTCCTTTTGTTAATAACATGCATTATCGTTTGTTTTATATTCATTTCTCTTTTTTATTGTTTCTTTTCTTTTTATTTATTATTTTTATCCGGCCTCACATTAGTTCGATTATTTGTGAGATAAATGTTCCAGGAGCACATAAATATACACTTCACACTCTCGTATAAATAATGTAAAAACCCACAACATAATAATGACTAATTATAACCGAACACAATAAATAAATAATCTAACATTTCCAAAGCAGCAAGAGCAGTTTTGCTTTCTGTTTTAAGATGTTAGTGCAAATAATTGAATGCAACTGAATTTATTTGATATATTGAGTTCAATAAAATTCTTTTTAGAATGAGTGACGTGAGAAAAACATATATTTATATTACAAAGTAATTTAATATAATTCATTTAAAGTAGATTAGGAGAACAGAAGAATTTATATGAGTTTTTCAACGTATAAAGATACACTGGTTATTATATAGATTTGACAAATCAAACTTGTAGTTGAATGAAGACAGATTTTTGTATTTCTGAAATACAAAGTTTAAAGAATTACCCAAGGCAAATAAACTGGTCCTGACTCGCACCTGGTGAACAAGATTTTGCGTAAGATTGAAGAGTAACTGAAAGCCATGACGGACTTGCTCAACTGACATCGGCTTCCATCATTAATACGCAGTTCAAAATGCCTTGTAAAATATACAATTTGCCATCCTCTTGATAACAGGTCATTTACCTAACGAAATCGTTTGTCAAATTTCTTTCTTGTGCATAGTAATTTTAGTGCAGTCTTCGTGCTTTTCCCCGCCTCCATTCCATATTCCTAATAAGCACAAATTGAAAACGAGAGACTGTCCTTTATAAACTCATCTGGGTAATTGATAGTGTTTTAGTGTGTTGGCTACTTCTGTAATTAATGTATAAGGTCTCTACGAAAACATTTTACATGAAATAATAATGGCGAAAAGATACACGCACATAATAACAGAGAGCAATAGATCTGAATTACAAGGCGATATTTATTGGACAAAAATAACGAAAATACAATTTAAGAGTTTTTAAATGGAAATAAATGGAATATACAACGAAAATTGTTAATGTATTTGGGTGTCATTAGCCTGTGTACGTGTGTTTGTGTGTGAAGCGTCCATAGCCCTTTTTGCTTCAGTGTGAAAAATTGATGGCACACATCTTAAAAGGAGGAAAAACAAGATAAGAGAGTTACTTAAGGGTTCATCTGTTTTTATACCCTCCATGCTGCTGTTGATATGTTTACTAATCCCTTCTCTGACAATTATTTTGGGAAAAACGTTTCATTTTTAGGTGAAAAGAGTTAAGGTACTACAGAGCTCTCTCGGAATTTATGGAACGTGTTCGAGGCCCTATTGATGGGAGCTATGGGTAAACTATCAGGACAGACTGCATTGTATAGCCTTGGTTGGCAACCAGTCTAGGAGAAGTAAACACTGAATTCAAACCACCTACTGCCTTGTAGGTCCTGCCTCTTTAGGAAAAATCTAGAAGTAGGTAACTTCAAAAACAAATGCACTTCTGAGAGGAGGGATGGGGTAACATCAATGTCCCCGGTGCAAAAGGAACCGGCAAACAATTCTACTATTCTGTCTTGAAATATCTCCATGAAGCACAATTGCGGTGTAAAAATGTGCTAAATAAATAAAATGATGAATGATTAAATAAATTTTTAGAAAGTTGGTGCTATCATGGTATGCGATCTATCTCATTAGTTGGGGGTCTACAATATACGTTATTGTGGTAGACTGCATACTCCACTAGCATCGACAGATCTTTGAATTTGCATGAAAGAAGATATGGTAAAAAAAGTTAAAGAATAAGGAAAACTTTCATGCGATTTGAATGCGACTGTGATTTTATTGAGTCTCCTATAATCTTTTTCAATTCATTATCAATATTTATTTAATTTCGAAAAACTGAAAATTTATACATACATATTTGATTGAGCAGGAGTGTAGTGAACTTTGCGCCTAAATATTGATAAAATCAGCATTTCTAATGTTTGTATTTGTTTTTATTAAGTCTGTGTGTGTGTGTTTTATAAGATAAAATGTTCATGAAAAAGGCTATACAATGGATATATTCCTAATAAAAAAAGAAAAGAAAACGGTTTCCCTGTTTTATTAACCTTAACGATTTGCTTTTCTGTTTCTACTTCTCTTTCTGCTTAACTTTCTTCTTCTCTTTCTGCTTAACTTTCTTCTTCTCTTTCTTTCTCTGATACGTCCGCAAAAGATTTTACAATATAACTACCAATGGCGTTTTTAGTCATCAGAAAGTGGTGGGGTGGTCACTTAGAGACCAAAATTAATATCTGTGAGTGTGGAAATGGAAGCAAAATCCAAAGTCGAGAATTGGTTATGGCTTGGATACTTTGCGGGATTTTCTTTTTTTTTTTCTTTTTCTTTTATTTGTGGTGGTGGGGTGAATCTTAGATTATTAAAATATATATCAACTATACATATAATGTAGAACAGTAGAGGAAAGAGGCTAGATCCTAGACAAAAACTTGGGCGTCTATGGCACCCTCTTGTTCACCCCCAATAGAATCATTAACTAAGAAACTGAAATTTCCTACCAAGACAAATGACCAAATTCCTAAGTACATTTTAAATTTACAAAGCATAGAAAAATGACCGAAGCTGCCGTTGTACACAAGAACTTAGAAATCCCCTTAAACACAGACATTTATTGTTATGATTTCAAATAACTTTTTAGTTAGATCGAAGTATGAATTTGTTTGATATTTTCCGTTCTGACTTATTTTCAAGCAAAAACATTTGTCAAACAATGGAATAGTAAATCAATGCATAAACAACATTAATAAAAAAAATATTGTTAACCTTGTTCCTTTGTTATTCGCTTCCCTTCTATTAGCGCTGACATTTTTACTACTTGGAAGTTTGAATGTCTCTCTGTTGTGTTGTTGACTTGACACACCTTAGTAACATGAAACGTTAGCAACGAGCCATGGGAGATAACTCACAATTTACTAAAAGTGATAAACAGTTATCAAGGGAAGTAACTTTTTTTCCTTATTTATTAGATATACAGTCAAACGTTGCTTCAAGACACAAGGAACAGGAAGTTGTGGATAGCCATGATTGCTCACATTCGGAAGAGGGAACGTAACATAAATGGTGATGATAGAGATATAATGCATGAAGAGATGTAGGGGTAGCGAAACTGTTAGTGAAATCTGCGAGCCGACTTCAAATTTCCGTTTACTTTAGGCTATTACGTTCTAAAGGCCTTTGGAAAAGGCATAAATCCGTCGCTCCCCCAGAACTATAGGTTAAACAGCAAAGCTAGCCTCGATTGGCAACCAATCTAGGAGAAGGATTAATCTGAATTCAAAAAGAAGGCTGACAACAGAAGGACACTCTTCCGATTGTTTGATCCGTTTTTTTGGGGTTTTTTTTTTTTACTTTTTATCAACCCTTTGCGGATTATTTAAAGCCAGAAAATTTTTTAAATTGTAAGTTTTTTTGTTTTCATTTTTTTTTAAGATAATAATTATTTAGTGATACAAGTCTTACTAATTAACCCATAGATAGGGGAAGGGATGGATTCATACATTTACCAAAGGTATTTGCGCGTAAGTGAATATAACAAGACCAACGGGAAATTGAACTCGAATCTCCGATTATTACTTCCGAGCTATTATCCATTACACCACCCACATATCTAAGTTTAAATCACCTGACATTCCCAAGCGGTTACTCATCCAGCTACTGATCAGGTTTGAAGTTGCTTAACTTCGTGTGAGCGTACGTGATGTGGCCGTATGCCCTACCTCTCAAGATAAGTCAGGACAATTAACAGACATTTAAGAAAAAAGGAAGCTGTTAAAAGGGACATGGCATTTGAAAAAGATGTACAAATATTGAGAGATCTCGTGATCTACCATAGAATAAGATGTTATTAGTTTGGTAAATTATAACACTGTCTTCTTACCTAAGTTTAGTAAATATCTACATAGTTTACTTATTTATTAACAGGGAGTAGACTTTTAATCATCATCATCATTATTATTCCTTGCTTTTGTTAAGTTTGCACGATTTTCATTTTAAATAGAGACCATGCATTATGGGTGATCGTCAACAAGTCGTACGTTCTCAGAGAGATCCGATTTGATTTGTTTAACATCATATCAACTCTTTATGGATCATTTAATGTCGAAATTTAATTTTCTTGGGAGCTTTGAAGCAATAAGAATATGATACATGTTATTCTGCTTTCACAATTGAATACATGGTAGATGATACTCAGCTTTTTTCGCATATATATGTTTGTACAGACATGATTACTAGAGGCGGTGATATGTGTGTTGTTGAAGTTATATTTTGAAATACAGTTTGATTTAAGAAATTATCGGATAAATGATTAATGTCATGAAAGTTCTTTCATATTGGTGGTTTGATTTTGTTTAGCGGCATATCAACCACTATGGGTTATCTAATGCCGAAATCTAAATATTTGAACACAATTTTATGGCTTCAGTTAATTATATCTTGAACATAAATGTATGCCTTCAACTACATATAAATGTATTGTGGGTCATTTTACTATAAAATGTATTGTTGGAATTCTGTTATAAAATTTTATTACTGATATTTTTACTATAAAAATGTATTTTTAAACTTTCATAGTTTTTTATCTTTGTTTGGAGATTCACTGTTTGCCCATAGCTAGGACCCTAACAAGTGCTACCACCCCGTCCCAAGAATAAGAGCACTTTTCGCAGAATATTTGCAGTACAAAGCAACACAGATTTTTGAAGCGGTGGTATACTAGGTTTTATTCCGATTTTCTCTAAGTAGAACTTTTAGTTAGCTAGCATCGATCCCGATACACGAATGATAACAGTAACCTGAACACCTCACATTCTAGCAACAAAAATCCAGAGGTCGGCATATCTCTTAAGTTTTCTTTTACTATAATCTTATGGTCACCAGAAATATTCATGCCGATATGGAGGCATTTTCTTGTTTCTTTGCCAATGAGGGTCGTTTTTGGTTGTTTTGTTTTATGGCATATCAACCTTAGTGGGTCATTTAATGCCAACAAAGGTTTTTTTAAATAGATTCATAGCGATAAATTGATAGCAATTGTAAAAAAGGTGTGTATGTACACATATATATTTGAACCATTTTTCAATTACTCATATTTTTTAGTACAATCCAACTCCTTTTAGGAAATTTACAATCTTGGATGGTTTTATTTTAGTAAAAAAGTTTTTTAAATTTCTCACTTGATAGATAATAATTTTTCCTTCAAAAATTATTGTTGGTAATATATTTTTATTATTACAAAGCATTTCTGGTATTAAAACCTATTTTTACACAAGTTTGGGTGTTAACTATTTGCCCATAGGTGGGACCCTAACAGGTGCTACCAACCCGGGTCAGGGTGAACCTGGGAGCACCAGCAATTAAGAGGTGGTTCCACGCTCCTCAAAACCTGATCTTGCTGTTGGACGTAGTTTATCGTCATACCAAAGGACAGTTGCCAATGAGGGTTAGGGTCGGCTGATTTTTCACTTTTTTTAAAATCAATATTGCACTCGGTGTGAAAGCTGAATTTTGATGTGATAAGTAATGACACTAGAAATTAACTTCATAGCTCTTAACGATTTTTGAGAATTTAGTTTCAAATATCGTCTGGAAAAATCTAAAGAAAGACCTAATTTCCGCAAATTTTTACTTACAAACTGACTTCAAAATTTTACTATTTTAAGAATAAATTCAAATAAAGTTGATATTTTTGTATTAGAAACATGGAATGGAAAATCAGCATTGTAATTAATCACCACAAGCAAAATATTCATTTTTTTCTGTATTGGATAAGAATGAGAAAAAAAATGTAAAGAGATTACAAAAAAAGGTTAATTAATGAATAAGATTTATTAGATCATAATTAATAAAAACAAAAAATAGATAAAAGTGTATATAACACCATAATACTGCGGGGCACAAATCATAAGATAATTTATACTTATCTTTATTATTATTATTATTATTATTATTATTATTATTATTATTATTATTGCCCCGCCTTCGTTAGGTAGTTCATTAGATAGTTCGCATGACCGTTACTTCCTGCCAATGCCGCATGAATAATAGACTATTTTGTTTTGACTGTGTGAAAACACGGAAATGACATGTCAGAAACACTACTTGGTTTCAGTGGGAAAAAGAAAGAAAGAAGTGATCTACGACTATCTCAGTGAAATGGAAAAGTTATCAGTTTCAAATCTTTTCTTTTGTACCCCCTTACTTATAAATAAATTTATTAATTAAAATGTTTGCAAGACAGGTTTTTAACTAGTTATTATTATTTGAGTAAAATGATAATAATAATAATAATAATAATAATAGAATAAATATTAAATAGCCATCCTTCTTTGTGGAAGTCAAAAAATTATATTTGATGATTATTTCATTTATTATTTTCTTTTAGAAAATGATAGGGTTTTTTTTTAAGATAAAAATACCTATGTGCGCAAAATGTTTAGGCATTTGTAATTCACAATTTTAAATTGCAAGCAGTAACGCACGCCTTTCTAAAAGGTAGTTTCTGAGAAAAGAAAAAGTTGTGAACGCAGCTTCGATTCCAGCCGAGAGTTACATTTTCGATTGCTATAGACCGGTAGACACTAAACCCATTGTTTGTAAATAAACAGCGATGTCTTTTCAAGCGAGGTCTTCTTAAATGATGTATCCTCAAACAGGTTTATCCACTAAAGTAACGGTTATAGTGTTACGGGGACTATTCCTAGTTGGACTAAAAAACAGTAGCAACAATATTTTACATAAGTAAATAATGAGTGTAAGGAAATTAATGAATTTTAACGGGGTAATTCTGACAGCATTAGATGATTTGGGCATAGACAAAACCACAGAAATAATAAATGAAAACTACAACACTGGTGATATACCAGAAGATCTCAGCAGATCTATTTTCATAGCACTTTCTAAGGAACCAGACGCAAACGAATGTGAACTCCACCAAACAATCAGCATAATGAGCCACATAACAAAACTCATCATCCGTATTCCGATGAATAGAGCGTGCAACAGAATCAGGCCAGACATAGGACAAGAACAGTGCGGGTTCGTCAAAGACATCGGAACAAGGAACGCGATATTCATGCAGAAAATATTATCAAAAACTGCAATACAAATGCAAAAGTTCGTGCACCTATGTTTTATAGACTACGCAAAGGCGTTCGACAAAGTATTCCACTGTTGGAACTGCTCAGCAACCTTAATATATTTAGGAAAGATATTAGAATAATCAAGAAGTTATACTGTCAGCAAACAGCCTGCATATGGACAGAAAATGAGTTCAGCAGATATACAAAAATGGAAAGGGTCATAAGGCAAGTATGGTCTTCTCACCGGACTTATTCAACCTATACAGCGAGGCAATTCTGAGAGAACTGGAAATCCTACCAGGATTCATCATTGTCGGCCAGTGTTAACAACACAAGACACGCAGATGACACAATGCTGTTAGAAGAGACACGGAATGGAAATTACAAAACCTCCTACAAATGGTAGCGAAGAAGAAGCGAGAAGGAACTAAGCATAAACTACAAAAAGACATAATACATAGTCACCTGTAAGAAGATAAGCCCGAAATGCGATTTACAGGTCGGGGACACTAAAATCAAACAGGTGCGGAAACTTAAATATCTAGGAAGTGTTCTGACAGAGGACGGTAAGTGCGACGCTGAAATCCGAAGACGTATTGGGATGGCCAAAGACGCATTCCAAAAGCTAAGCAGAGACAGTTGCTAACAAAGAAAAGAGTACTGAACTGCTACGTGATATCTGTCCTCCTTTACGGCAGCGAATGTTGGACAGTCTCCTGAAATATGA